TTACTACATATGTGTAGAAGTGTTGTGAAACTTGGTCCACTATATTTTCATGATGCCTTTTGTTTTGAAAACGAAAATCGTTTCTTATTACACATGAAAAAAAGCTTAACAGAAGTTGCTACTCAAATAGCAAAACGCTATACGTTTTACAGGTCAATACCAAGTTTTGCCGCAATGTTTTCAATTAGACCACGTATCATTGAATTTTCAGAAAATTTCGATAATCGAGTAAAATCATGTATTGTTGTAAACGGTGCAATGGTTCTTGGTGCAGGAATTCCTTACAATTTTAACGAACAAGAAAAAAAATTGGTATACGCAGGAAACTGCTTGAGATACGAAAAATTAATTTATAAAGGCCGAAGATACACTATCAAAAGTTATACACAGAATTTAAAAATTGATGACTCAATTATCAAAACACATAGTGGACTTAAAGGTATTATATATAACACTTGTGTATTGAATGATACAACAAAAAAAGTTGTCATATTTTCCCATCCGATAGTAATAAACCGTGAACAAAATGATAATTTAGCGATAATTCGACGTATTAATACGTGTTTTATTCAATTCGATCAAATTAGTTCGTGTGAGATAAACGATTTAAAAAACCAATGTATATTAATCCATACTAATAACGAATCATATATATGTAGTATGTTAAGAGGTTCCATTGGTGATTAATTAAAGAAAATGATCGAATGTTGTAATGTTATCATATAACACGTTAATGGCTAAAACTGAATAACAGTAGTTTTCGCCGGATAAGTGCCATCGTCTCTGGGGATATTTTGCGGCCCGAGGGACCTGCGAAGCAGGATACGCCTCTTGAGCGCAAGCCTTTGCACCCTTGGGTACACTTTGCACCCTTCGACTACTTTGGGCCCCACAGCAAAAAACTACTTTTTTACCCTCTGGGCCGAAAGTATTGTTCTGCCCAGGGGTCCAAAATGGTCAGTGGACGCAAAAAGGCACTTTGCGCTTTAGTGGCGTAATGTAATATTTCCAATCTCGGGCGTTTTTGAGGATTGCATGTGCCCTCGGTAGGAAAAATAGGATTTGCCACATAAGTGCCATCACTCCGTGGCTACCATACGTCCCGTGGGTCGCAAAATAGCCTCGGAGACGATGGCATTTATCTGACGAAAACTACTATTAGATTTATTAAAAATGAAATAAATGATTGTTCTATTATATGTATTTGGATTATTTTACATCACGTTATAGATATACTATTCATCTGTTTACAATTATTATTTTTTTTTAATCAGAATATTATAAAAATAAGAAATTCAAACAAATTTAAATTGCTACAAATAGTTTTGGATAATCTTCGACAGTTGTCGACAATTGCAAAAAAGTTTAAATTCTTTCAATAATGATTACAGATTATCGAAAATTATCTGAAATTATTTAATAATTTCAAAGTCTTTTATTCTCTATTTAAGACAACTTCGTCCAGCCAACAACCCAAATTATTTTTGCACCATTATCACATTAAAATTTTTTTTTTTAATTCAAATATTGTAAAAAAAAAAGCTACAAAAAATTTCAGTTATCAAAATTAATTTTAAATTATATATTTCATAATATCCGATAGTTGCAAATAAATAAGTCCAAAATCTTACAATAAACATCAAGAATTATCGAAAATTATGAAAAAATTTCAAATTTTTTTATTTCGTATTTAAGATAACTTCCCTCAGGGAGACTCAAGGTAAAGCAATAAAAGCATGTACTAAATGTGAGATTACATAAAGGTACGAATATCTAGGAAAATCTTGGATTCTAAACATATTGAAAAATATGTAGTAGATAAACTTTTGAGAAGCGAGATGTATTTTTATAATTGGGATTATATCTGAAAAGTTTGAAAATAGTCAGCAGTGTCAGCACTTCGAACTGTCACTTTAGGTCTTTCAGGATATCCTTGTCTTCTACCTCAATATCTACACCTTAAATTACTCCTTTTCGAGCAAGCCTATGATTAGGGGTGAATATGTCGCATCCTTTGGTTGTTATTTCTGCATCATTTAGTAGCTTGTTAGCATCTCAATAACTACTTAAAATAACTTCGATCTGTCTACTAGATACAGCTTGTCCAATGAGATCCCTATTATCAGCAAACTAAGCATAGATGGCATACTGTAGCTAAGAGAAAAATGACGTCACTGAAACCGGTGACAGTCAAAAGCGCTGAAACTTTCTAACTCAGTCAAAAACTACTGATGAAAAGCGCACATCACAAGCTCATCATCAGCACATCATAAGCGCATATTGAGACTTATTATAAGCGCACAAAGATGAATCAGAACATTCAGTGAACTTACTGGCTTCAGAACTGTGTAATTCTACGTGACAGGTACAAATACAAATATTAAAAAAAAAAAGAATATTGTGAACATAAATTTTGCACACTGTCGATACTCCAATTGGATTCGTCATTACACAGATCTCTTTGCGTTTTCTTCTAAAAATCTCATATTTGTAAATATTATATTCAAACAGTATAATTTTTTTAATATGTACCAAAAGTCAAACGCTTACAGTCTACAATCACCGGTTGACAGTGATGTGATCTCAAAAAGTTTACTCTTAATCCAGACGACTTGTCCGACTCATTATACTTTTTTTTCTCTTTTTGTACAAAATCTTTCGTAATTGTAATTTTTAATGACATTTTTTTTCTCGTTGCACCTTGAATTTTTAAGTATGTTTGGTTGGACTTGGTGTCGTTTAAGAACTTCTATAACTAGATAAACTGAAGGCTTCGATGCATGAAATGTCCATGAAAACTCTCGGGTCTGTTAATCGTTGTTAGTATTTTATCCGACGTCTGCACCCACAGTATAGCAGATAATTTGCACGATGATGCTTCAATGTAATTCTCCAATACATAGTCAGCAAACTGCATCACTCCATTTCCTGTGCATCCAAAAACGGTAGAGCAAAAAATAATCGAAAACACTCGCTTTCTTCTGACTTGCTTTTGTAAATTGAGTTTAGTTCCAAGTTTTTTATTTTTCGATACCACGATTAGCCCAGGTGACGGAATGGTACCTAAATCGAGCACCTTGTGCTCTACTTCCGAGGCAGAGTACCTTTCGCCTGAATGCATAGGTCGTCCAGTGACGTACCTACCCATAAGTCGATTCTCATCAAACAAGCCGCTTCAGGGCACGGAATCTCATGAGGTCAAGGGTGGGCGTGACAGCAAGGGGAGCAATTCTCCGCCCTGATGGTCGGCACTCCGCCTTGGTGCTTTTTTACTGGTCTCATTCGGCCTTTAGACCAATCTTCAGTCCGTCTCTCGTGTACAGTTTTGACTACGCAAAATATAGATAAAAAAAATAAAAGGAACATTGTTTCTTAATTTTAACTTTGATAATTCAAAAAACATACTACATATAAGTGGATTTTAAAAACCATTTTTTCTGTACAGCATGCGGGAATCAAGGGCCCGTCTGTACAGTCATTTTATGTTCAGATATCTCAGACATCGTGCGTCTTTATTTAAATCTCGCGCCGACCTGGTCAATGAGACGTATTACGGTATTACATCCGTAACAGATGGTATACATTTGATGAAAATTACGCAGTCTTGCGTAAAATGAACCATCGATCAGAATTATTTCACCATATTCAGCGAGAAATTTTAGATTACTGTCGCATTTCACAATACAGATTCTACCGAAAATGTAAACAAACTTTTCTCCTCACGTGGTTTTGGTTTGTGCGGTTTAGATCGTTTGATTTGTGCGCTTTTGATCGTTCGGTTTATGCTTTTTTGATCGTTCGGTTTATGCTTTTTTGATCGTTAAGTTTGTGTGCTTTTGACTGTGCACTTCTGATGAGTGCGCGCGTTTGATTTGCAGAACACTGAAACACTTTTACTACAAATGATAATAATGTACGGTAAAGTAGACATACTTTTGTGACAACATCACCGTCACGCCGACGTCAGGGGATTACGGATAGCATAGGTGGTTTCGATCTCACTGTCCTCAGAGATTTGGTCAGCCTCCAAAGGCGTGTTCTTGTTGGGATTCATTGCCACCCACACCGGACACGATACCTCAACAAAAACTGTTGTGAACACAAACTTTTCACTACCTAGTCGCGTTCGCGTTATTTCAAAAGTTAGCCCGCGCAGGTGGGAGCGGGCTAAGGCCCATAACCTGTTGACTATTACGTAGGTGGGCAGAGTTTTGGGTGAGGCACACGTGAAGTAAAAATAGGCAGGAATACAAAATACAACTTTATTCAGAGGTATCGAGTAGTACAAACGGCCGTAGACTTTTGATAGCGAGAGCGCGTCTGTCCAGCTCGAGTGGTCTACAGAGAGTGAGGCGGCTCTGAACACAGTGAGGCGCTGCGACTGTATAAAGCTATACATACAGCCAACATACACAGTATGTACGTAGAAGCCCGAACTACTAATATTTCTAACAGTACTAGAGTACAAGATTATTTTAATTCACGTTATAGAAAATAATAAAATGGTACCTGAAGTTGTCGAAAGTACTGCTGCCACTTGTACATTTACTGTATATTCTAGCCAGGCTTGAAGGAAAGCTTCTATAAAGTTCCCCGTTTATAAGAAAGCTTTCATTTGAAAGTTACACGAATTCGAAGTCAAGTGTTAAAGTTATTTAAAACAGTTATTTCTAGATCCTTACTTCTTCCAAAAGTACTTCAAACATGTAGATTATATTTCTTTGGACTACTACAAATCTTAAAATTTTGAAGGAGTGTATTTGGATACTTGATACGATTATAAAAACTTTCTGTACGTGCATATTACGCCTACATAACTGTTTTTTAATCTTTGATCATATGTTAATTTTTTTTTTAATTTTCTTGTATCTAACATTTCATCAAAGTTTCATAATACATTTGTTATTAGATATTATCAACTCAAAATAAAAATAGTTTTTAAGCTTTAACATTTATAAAGCGTGATTTATCATCTTTTTTACATGATTGATGGGCTACAGCTTTGTTCATTCTCTACCCATATTTGACGATACACATGCGAGAGTTAGGCATCAACGTAGAAGAAACAGCTATAATGAGCGCTATAATTCCATTTGTTGCTATAATAATGCCTCCAATAGCAGGTCTTATAGCTGATCGCATCGGAAATTTTAAGGTGAAAACTAATGTCAAGTTAAATGAAACAAACGATTTGTAGTAAATCATTCAGATATTTGTTTGTTTTGTGGGTGCTTGTAGATACTGCTGTCATTTTTTTCAATGCTGGGTGGTGGAGCTGCCCTGCTTCTACTTCTTGTACCAGTAGGCAGATTAAATATTCAGATGCCAGAAAATGTGGTGCTCGATGTTGGCTGTACCCACGATGTAAAGGAAAATCTAGTTTTAACTATGAGCCAGAATTATCCCTGTGATACTCTGTCTTATGCACGACTGGATCTAGCTGTTCAGAGTTGTGGGTGAGTACAAAGTGCTTTGATGTTTTTTTTTTTACCTATTATTTCTCAAAATGTAAATGTTTCTCAAAGTGTTTTATAAACACTTTTTTTTCAAGAAAATTTAATTGTATCGTATAAAATATATTTGAAAATCACTTTGACCTCTCTTTACATTGAAAAAGTTCAAATGATCTAAAAAATATTCTGGTGTTAATTTGTGTGAGGTGTTGGTAAGCACGACAAACTTGTGATTTAGTAAGCGTATTTTTGATTCTCAATTGTCACACTGTATTTCAGTAGATTTGTATCTGTGTTAGGGGTTAGAAATTTATGAAGTTCTTATAGTTAATATTAAATTAAAATTTATTATTACTGTTCTACGTACACTATGTTTAAAAAAAAATTTTTTTTTAGTATAGTGTCATAACGTCTGGGTATACAAAGGTCCACTACTCAGAAAACTACTCGACACTTTGGAAAGGGACAAGAAAAGGGATGGGATTCCTTCAATTACAGGGACGGGGGTACGGGAAAAATAAAAATTTAGCAGCGAAAAGATCGCTCATCCCCTTCATGAGGAGAATTGCGCAGTGAAAAAGTACAGGTGAAAACTCACAAAGATACTTGCTCGAAAAGTTACACTGGCCGGAAGTCGAACTGCGGTTTCCCACTTGCCGACTCAACCCGTAATTTAGTAGCTGATTAAGCTACCACTCACCTAAGCAATGGCCTTGGAATTGAAGTTGCTTGCCAGGACTACGTCACTACTTTCACAACACTCACGAACAGAGTCCTCGAGTAGTATAGCTAGCTTCTCTCTGAATATGTCAATAGCTACGTTGGAAAATAGATAGCAACTCATGTAGGTTAAATGTTCACTCCTGATTCATACGAACCCATCTCCACCTCTGGTGTTGGATACGAAGAACTTGTCTCTGTGGATCAGGATGGCAGCATATCCAGCCCTGTCGCTGTACTAGCCTCAACCCAGTAACGTATGGGACGACTTATTTATAAAGAGCAAGTTCAGGACCCCAGGCGTGGAAAAACTGGTCCAGCAGATCCTGCGTGAACACGGTCATATCGAGGTGTATTTGCAAGATCAGCACCATACCCGTTAATCTGGCCCTACAGACATCTGAAGCGCTCCACATACCCAGTAGTCCTAGAAACGTGGTTGATGACCAGCTTTGGGATCACGCGCTCGCACAGGTAACAGCACACTTTTTTTGGAGCAGTTTCGTGCCACGTGGCCCCTTACACCATACTTCCAACATGCTCCGGTCTTGTCGGGTCCGCCACACTGATTTGAATTGTGGCCTAAGCCCAGACACCTGAAGTAGTGCTCAGCTTTGAGTTTGAGCCGCATCTTGCAGTTCACCCAGCCCAGTCTTACATAAACTTCTTTTTCGAGGATCGTTTCCTCTATAAGGGTGCCTAAATGTACGCTATCTGGTTTCGCCTTACAATGCCAGACGGTAGCCGTACGGCCATGTCTGGGGACCCTGTTCGCTAACCAGCCCTTTAGTACGACCTCTGCGTCTTTCTTTGGCACGGTAGGATCAACGTTCTTTATCTTCTAGATCAGGCGTGGGGTGAGAGTACTAATGCCGCCAGTATCCACCACAGCATTCTTTAGTGCCTGGGCGAATAGTTCGCCTTCTTCCTCTTCTTGACTCCCGGATGAATTCTACACCTACCCGGCCACGTTGACCTTCTTCATCAAGAGCTGGTATGACGTTAATTTTGAAGCCCCTTCACCCAACCTAGGCTGCAAACAGTACCGTTTTTGACAAGGTTACGCATTCCAGAGAAGAGGGTCAGCAATCATTAAATCAATAGAACGTTTACTTTTTACGTACATTTAAACAGATTACACCCTAGTTAGAGAATAGTACTTTACACTTCTGAATTTTTAAATTGAGTTAAATTTTTTTTAAACGCAAAACCTCATCGTCTCTTTTCTGTTTTCGACTATTATCTTTTTTTTTCAGTTAAATATATTTATCTTTACTCTTGAGATTTTCTCCGTGCTTTTTAATTTGATTTTGAGACTTAGTCACGTGCAGTTTCAATTTTCGGTATCGGTCGATGGTGATTTGACATTCCTAAAAATGTTAGATAAAATAAAAAACACGAGGTATAATTTTATTATTAAATGAGGTGTAAAGTTTACGGTGATGTGTTGTTTCTATTTTCGGAAACTTCGTTTTTTGAGTGATTCTCTGGATCATCGCAAATTTTTTCGAAATTCGCGTTGGCTACGACAAGTGGATGTATTGCATCCTTTTGACCGAAGACTTCTTGCATCTTTGTACAGAATATTTAAGTATTGGTATTGAGAGTATTTTATATTGAATAATTTATGTATTACTTACTTGAAAAATGGTACATTTAATCTATGAGCTTCCATTTTATTTAGCACTTTTGTTGTCAAGCTCAGCTTTGTATGAAGACTCTAAATACTTAATTTTGTTCGTAACTTGGTCCACAGTAATTATTTATCCATGTTTGTTCAATAATTTATTGGTGATTTGTTTGTCCATTACTTTTTTAGTTTTGATAACACGTTCATTGTACAAAATCTTTTTCCCTCCGTACATACTTAATAATAATTTTGTCATAACAATCGTACAATCAATGAAAATATTACTACCAACACGATTCCATTGCTAAAGGTGTACTTGTAGAAGCTTTTGAGTGTTCAACTCTACTCGATTCATTAGCTTTAGAATCTTTATTTTGATCTTGACATTCATCTGTTGTTTTATTTATTTGTTGATACAGTGACAAATATGAAATATTTGGAGATTTTTTTTTATCTAAAATTATATGGGTTGAAAAATGCACTTCCGATAACAAACAATTAAAATGATTCAATCTTGAATACCTTACGTTGGGATAAAACCATACAGTGATTTCAATTCTATAACTTCCACATCTTTGTAGCAAGCGTGATCAACGAAGAGGAAATTGATTATTAGCAGACCGCAGTTACCACAGTGTATAGGTGAAAGCCTTGTAGAATTTTTCGAGTCACTCTTAACATTAGACAATCATTACATACTCCGTACTCAAAAATATTTATTGTAATCAGTTACACAATTTTTTTTTACCATGGTTTCGTCTCTTGTACATTAGTAACACCAGGGGTCTAATCCCGACTCTTCGAAATCTCGCAAATCGCTGCGAGTTGGCCGATTATACGTCATAAATACATAGAGATATAAGGATAGAGTGCGTGACGTGTATGCTGGCATGCAAGTGGCAGCGTCAGAAGGTTAGAAAGAGAATTAATTCTAAGTCTCCGTTCTGTTCTTGTTTTCTCGAGTTACGTGATTAGCTGGCCAAGTTGAAGTCGAGACATCGAGTTAGTTGAGCGAAGGCCAGCCCGAATAGAAATACATGTTCCGGCAGGTAGCAGGACCAGCTCCGGTACCTTAAGCTTGGTCTCCCGACCTCTTCCGTCAGTCTTTCCAGGCAGTATACAAACTGTTACCAGGTGTGTTTCCGGGCAGGTTCAGGCTTCCTGAGGTTACGGTTGACAGGAATGGACCGTGGAGTGCCCGTAAGGTACCAAGTACAAATTAAACTAATAATAAATTTAACAAACGTCGGTGACATGAAAATAGCGTAGCTACTAAAAATAAAATCATGCAAAAACAATGTAAGATAAATAAAAAAGTTTTATTTCCTAATATAAACAAATGAAAAATCATCATCATGTTTTGTGTGACATGGGTAAAGTAGGATCATACTTTTTCAACTCCTTCAATAAAAAATTGATGTGTCCATTAGCTGGCTTGCACACCCTTGCATAGTCTATCAGGACCTTTGCAATAAATGATTGTTCGGATTTTTTCCCATCACTATCTTCATTAACATATTCACTGGAACAGCCGCTGTAATATTTTCGATCATCATTATCATTATCATCACTGCCATCATCATTATTATCATCATCATCACTATATCAGCAGGAGCAAAGCGATACTTGTCAGCAAACATTTCCCGTTCATCCTAAACACTTTCACTCAACTCTGATTCATCAATGAATAAATCATAATTTTTATGATTGAAGCAGTGTATTTTATCCATATATCCGGAATAATTATCCACATCAATACCTTTTTCATTTTCAATAACCAAATTCTGAATGTGTACTGCATCACTCAGACTAATAGTTTTCGCAATTTTTTTGTTTTTGTCAAGTTCTTCGGCTTTCCGTTTTCTTATACATCGCATTTGAACTTTCTTACAGTACAAACAAGATTCAAACTTTTTATCAACAGTATGCGTTAATTTATTACTTTAAAAGTACTTATTTGTATACAACGATAATTTGGAGTAATCGGAGCAAAAGCTATAACCTCAAACTTAAAGATGTACCTTCAGGGCCGAGCATGGTCAGTATATGGTAACCGTACCTTCAGGTTGCCTGAACCCGCCTGAACACACATCTGGTAACGCCACTTACGGGGGCCATAGAAATTAGTGTCCGCTAGCGGGAGATGGCCCTGAAGGAGCCTTAAGGCAAACTAAATCTATTTCTATTCGGGAGCTAATCGCATAACTCAATAAGACAAACACACAAGAGTAGCTTAGAATGCGTTCTCTTTCCAACCCTCTGATGCTGCCTCTTTCTTGGTTGCACTCTATTCTTATATCTCTATGTGTATATATATATATATATATATATATATAGCAAACCCCATAGGTTAGGTTATTATATTATTGATTAATCAGCCAACTCGCTGTGATTGGCAAGGTATCGAAGAGTCAAAATCAGACCCCTGCTTACACTTTGTTTACTTTTAGAGTGTATCTAACCTAACGTGTGCTTAGAGATGATATGACCTGGCTCATGGTCACAAATTATGGAGATGTAGATGGCACTGTTCGTCCTCTTAATGGTCCTGGGTATTGGGTCCGTCATCTGGTTAGGCACTAAAGTGCTAAGTCGATCAGATACTCTTGGTCAGTCCCTGGCTGTCTGGGTCTTCGGTAATTTGATAAGACGA